AATACTACTGACCCTGGTGCACCAATACCATTGACACCCGCGCATTTTTTAATTGGTGAACCAATAGTACATGCGCCCGATGCTAGTTATGAAAGTACAACTGTTAGCAGCTTAACTCGGTGGCAGCATATTCAAAGAATGCTTCAGTCATTTTGGAAACGCTGGTCCCAGGAGTATTTAAGTAATCTTATGCATAGGTACAAGTGGTCGAACAAGATTCCGGAACCAAAGATAGGCGACATTGTGTTAATAAAGGAAGATGATTTGCCACCAAGTCGTTGGTTACTAGGTCGAATTACAGAAAAGCATCCCGGAAGTGATAACTTAACTCGAGTCGTTACTTTAAAAACAAAATTATCCACCATCAAACGACCGACTTCCAAGCTGTGCATTCTACCAGTAACCGATTGAGGTCTATAATGCAATTAAGATCAACTTATGACAACTTAGTCTAGTCTAGTAGTACTGTTACAATTTTAAGTTTACTTTTTGCACATTTTAAAATTACTTTTTTGTTCTATTTTTACATTATGTTAAGTTTTGTTTTATTTAACTGTTTAGATCAATTTATACAAGTTACTTGCAAATTTGCAAATTATCTGTACAAATTTTGTTATTTTATTTATTATCTAAGGGAACCTTTATGTCAACTTAGGATATGAAATTCATGTTTGTTATGTAATATAAGATCAAATTGTTATTTTTGTGTTAAGAAATTTTATCATTGAGAAGGACATTCCGTCAATAATGTCCTTGGTGGGCGGTATGTTAATGACCAAAACCCAACACGAAATCAAAGTAACGAAATCATAAAATTGATATTGATTAATTAGTTCACTTTTTGTAACTAGATGGCGTTGCCGCGATTAAAATCGAGCTATGGTTTCGTTACAACGACTTACTTAAGACAGATATTTTTTTTGTATGTATTGAGATCAACCAGAACAAATATATTACGAACCAGCAGTTCAAGCACTAATACGAAGTTTTAATTAAACCCTGTTAGTAGCTACAATAGGCCACGTTACTTCGGTAATTAACAACTATACTTCTCTATGAATTTTGTATTGGATCACAACTTATGACGTCATCATATTTCTGCGTCAAACAGCATACTTATTTCCTAAAAATTAGCGAGAAAAAATCCAATAATAGGTAAATTGTCAGATCAATGCATGAGAGTATGATTATTTTTTAATTATTTATTGCATTGAAAATTTGGAACAATTGATTTTAAACCTAGGAAACTAGCCAATTATACCTGGTGAGCGATTAAGCTCGTTGATATGATCAAAAGTAGTAAACCACAAGTTTTAGAAAAATAAATATTTTCGGTGGTATCTGAATTCGTCATTTTTAACAGCCCGATCTGGTTGCTGAACATGTCCAATAACATAGCCATAACGTTACTAACACCTTTAACACTATTTTATAACTTTACCACAATTTTGGGAAAAACTAAAAAATCTAAGAAAAAACCACCTCAAAATCTATAAAATTACTAATTTCTAAAAATCTTACACGTTTTCCTGGTCCTTAAAAATGTTTTAGGTTTTTTACGAAACAAACAAAGAAGTTACGCTGAATATGCATGCCATCAACTTTAATAAAGCACTCGAAGAACAGAACATTCAATATCAAACCTATATTTGTGAAATTCATAGAAATGAAAGCGAGTTTACAAATAATACCAGCATTCATAAATGTAAACACGGCCGTAGACTAATGTACTATGTAGTTCATAGAGTAAAGCCTGTACCTACGTACGTAATTCCAGGAACGAAACGTTATCATTGACCCAGTGACCCAATGCACTTGGCTCCGAAACCTAAAATGTTGCTCCCATTTTCATAGCTCCCCAACCCCACCCCTTACTCAGCAAATGCCACCCGGCGCCCACTTTAAATTCTCTTACTACCTTTACAATCAGTACAGTAACCGTAAATACCGTAAATACGCTGAAAAATAGTAAATAAATTGCTCATACCATGCAATCCATATCTCGCGTTCTTTGAGTGATCTCATTGTTTTAATTGCATGCAAAAATGCGCACAGGGCCTGCCGATTTGTAAATCATTGTCATTAAAATGCTTTGAGTTCAATTTTCTTAAATTCTTAGTTACTTACATTTACCCAAAAAGTATCTGCTTGCATGCCCAAAAGATCACGTATACTTAAAAGTTGTTTTTCAAACTTCTCTCGGGACACTAAAGTCCATAGGGTTATCAAGCTTGATAATGTGAAAAGATGTTGGTACGTCCGTAAATAATTTACGAATTTGAATTTAGGTATTAATTAAATATAATTATATCAATTTAAAGTTACAGTAACAAGAAACATGTAAGTAAATATAACCGCGAGCTGTTTGTGTCACGAACACGATTATTTGTAATATTCTTTATTAAATTGAAGTAATTAATTACTTCGAATTTAAAAAATCATAGGGATGTTTTCCTGGAATAACATGTTTAATCGAACTGCCAGGGGTAGAGGCTTTTATCTAGCAGTGGGAAAAGTTAATGCTCATATCGATATCGAAAAAAGGTTTTTTTTGGTAATAGGACTTTTCTTTTACTACATGTGTGTGTGTGTATGTACATTTGTTTCTTTATAATACAGATGTACAGGTTAATACTAAACCACGACGAAGCTTTAAGCCAGCTTCAAGTAAATAATCTTACACCTTTTATCCAGCGTGACCTGATTAATTTAGGGTTGATTTCTATAACCTCTGTTAGTGCGTTCTTCTAACATTTTTTATTATGAAAATGTTGCCTACTTACTAGAATTCCTCAGTCGTGGATGCAGCGTTTACAAACACATAATTTCACACGTTCATCACACTAGTCCCGGAACGACAATTTGCGCATCACGCAAGAATTGCTCCGAGGGGGAACAGAACACGTGATACATTGCGTAGTAGCCGGTTGCCAAGTCACTGCACCAGTCGTGCAGTCATTCTATGTATTTTTATTAGGTGTTTACATAATTAATACAATTGACATAAATAGCATAAAATGCCTCTAGACGTAAAGAAAACAAAGAAAAGTGAATAAATAAATATAGTCCAAAGCTCCAATAAATAAATAATCGTACATCTTCATGACACACTGATACTTTGTTAAGCGATGTTATTACCGCAATATTACGATGCGTTACATCAATATGCGTCATCGAACAGAGAAAGTGTGACGTCAGTTGCGCATGAAGAAAGCATTGCGCGTGCGACTCGGCGAGCACTCTTGCTTTCGTCTGAGGTCGTGGCGTCTGTGCGATAGCGAAAACGACATACTTCGGGTATACCTACCTTGCCGACGCTTTTCATCCGGTATTCAGGTCTTGATTATGAAATCGAAACTATTGAGTCATTGTGGCTTATTATGCACGATATGTAGTTCCATGTCGTTTTATGTTTGTAAAGACAGCAGTTTCGTTATTTGGCCATGTTTTATATGAGCAGGCCCTATGATAAACCAATTTAAGATAGATCGGAACTTAGAGTACATCTAGTTAGTAGTCTAGTTTTATTATTATATTAAGGACATAAAGGAGACACAGATACAAGATACGTATACTTGGACAAGTGTATAGTGTATGTACCTTCTTACATTGAGATCGTATTGAAGTCAATCCTCGTCCGTTGGCGATGTGTTTAGTGCTGTAGAACACGTCGAATCGAATTACATTGCGAATACAAGGCTGTCACAGACAGTCACTCGTTCGTGACCTGTTGACTGATTTTAACAAAATCCAGGTCAAGATCTTTATTTCGCTTTTGATATTGAATGGCTCTCGTTATGACTTAAAATTACCTACGTAAATTTCGAATACGTAATTGCTTATTCACAAATATTATTGCTTTTAATAGACGGGTGCCTCGAATTCATTGTGGAAACTTGTTAATAATATTTTTTGTACAACTATGATCACTTGAACAAATATTAAAAACCTATAAGAACCAATATATTTTAGAAATAATGGGCACCTAAAGATTATTGATTTAAAAATTCAGGAAATCAGAATTACTACAGGGAGTGCAATTTTTAATGGCTAAAGGGACGATAAAAGTCCTGTTCTAGATAATGTATAACAAATACCTACTTTGGAAGGTTATGCTATTACAATAAGAAAATAGACAAAATGAGTACCTAAACATGTATCTTACGATAAGAAAATTATTTCTTTCATATTTGTTGTTAAACAGTTATGTCTGCCAAGACTATTTCATAGAAGCATCGTTTGGTAGTTTGTCTTTTGAAAATCTGGTAGGCAATTATTATGGACGGTGGATTGTCATATACTTATTGCTTCAATTACGTACGGCGAACACAACTCATAATCGAATGCAGTGCGAACGTAAACATTAGCTCGGTGTTCGCGGCAACCCTGCCCTGCTGCGGCACTGCGCGCAACTGGGTCAGTGGGCCGCCCCCCGCGCCGTCCTCCGCCCGCTCGGTGGCGCAACCGCGCGAACGCGCACTAACATAGACCTGGATCGCGGGAAAGTGGGTCACCGACTCACTTTCACTTATTACATGGGCTCCTAATCGTTTTCCATTGTGCGAGCGGGCAGGGGCCTGCGGGTGGCGGCGGGGCGCGCATGCGGGAGGCGCCGGCACGCGCGCCGTTGTCGCCGGCCGGCTACCCGCCAGTCGATCGCGGCACGTCTACCGAGCGGCACGCGTGCCGCTTGTTGTTAAAAAATACTCATTGCGATCGTAACATACCACGCGCTGTCAACACTTGTACGAACAGTAGTAATAATTACTTCGGTGACTGACACAGACGCTTAACGCTTGTTAAATTCTTAAACCGCTCGTATTGAACAAAATGTGTTGGATTTATGTGCTTCCTACAATAGTGCTTGAACAGGTGCAACCCACGAGCGGTAGCTAGTGTTGCGGCCAGACCGCTAGTGAACTCGGTGACTGTGTGAACGTTGTTGCGGTTGAACGCCGCTGTAGGGATTCTTAATAAACAGCCGCACCACGCGGCCGAGTATGACGATGGACCAGCAAACAGGCCTCATGTCCCTCAATATGTCCCCGTTTGATCTGAGCCCAGGGCCTGAAGGGTCTGGTTCAGGTGGGGGTCCCTCAGGTGCCTCACAACAATACGTGCCGCAAGGCGCCGCGTATCAGTGCCCTCCTGAACAACAATCTTTCGGATATGCAAACCTGGACACATCCTATCTATTTCCAACAGGCGCTGGTGGCGAACCAGGCGCTTATTTGCCAGCAGCCGGCACAGTTTGCGACCAAACCGACACTAAAGATGTGATCGAAGAACTTTGTCCCGTTTGCGGAGACAAAGTCAGCGGTTACCACTACGGGCTGCTAACGTGCGAGTCTTGTAAGGGATTCTTCAAGAGGACCGTACAAAATAAGAAGGTGTACACGTGTGTCGCTGAGCGAGCCTGCCACATAGACAAAACACAGCGGAAGCGCTGCCCATTTTGCCGCTTCCAAAAGTGCCTCGACGTTGGCATGAAACTCGAAGGTGAGTAACGATTTTTTTTGTCTTATCATCTAAAACATATTTTCATTCATTAGCAAAACATACTCTTCCATTCAATTTAAGTTTTATGTCATTTATTCACATAGTCATTACAGGGTGCGTCCACGGCAATTCATGTGTATTCGATAGATCTCATCTATTGATCTAAATAAGATTACATCATTTAATCCAAATTAATACAAGTCCTGTAAACTTGCTACTTCGTTTCTGCTATAATGTTGAAGTAACGACTACGGCGGCGATTCCCCCGCCGACCTTCACCCACTTAGTAGTAGAGGTCGACCCTGAGACGCTGCAGGGTGTCTGAAACAGACGTTGGTAAAAAGACTAGACTTAATCTAATGAGAGCAAATTCGTTTTAGCAACCACAACAATAATTTAGCTTCAACGATCCCATAACGAAACAAATGCACAATATTTATTTGATGATCGTTTCTAACGCAATCAATCACTGCACAATATAAGTACGGTATTTAATTTTCTATAGATCGACTTGAGTCTTCATTTAACTAGTGAATTATTCCTGGAAAATTATGGCGATACTAGCAATAATATGGTATCAATTTAAAACTACCATCGAATTGCTACGCAATATACGCATAACGTAATTATTAATCCACGTTGACTTTTACCAGTTTATTGTGATATAGTATCAATGTATTAAAATGTCCTTCAAAAATGTATTCAATCTAATGATGTATGTGTATTTTTCATTCATAAATATGTATTACACATTACACGATCATTGAGATCTACAGGATATGCATAATTCATTTAACGTTAAATTTCATAATAATTCATATAATTTTATATGATTAATAATTGACTTAAGTTATGTATACTGTCCAAGGGTGCGGTTACAGGTTGATGTTTTGAAGGTAATTTATACATTAACTTGTAGTTAGGTGATCGTGTGGGGCGGAGCTTGAAGTGCGGATCGTTCTAAATTTAAAACGCGCGCGGCCGCAGAGCGCCCTGACCTACTTGCGAGCGGGGCCGCGATGCGGCGCGCGCGCTGACTGTGTTAGTGCGTACACGTTAATGCGCCGATGTGTGTGTGAGACATTCGCCATTGCGCGTTTCGCCAGATGCTGTGATGTTTGCAACATCTAAAATGTAGTCTAAATTTTTAGACAAGAAATCGCTTCTAAGCGCATAGGGCTCATCTTCGTCTAACTTATATGTTAGACGCGACACGTTCATGAAATAGGTTTTCAAGAACCCACATAGCATTGCAATGATATCTTACGAATCGAACGACAACATGGAAGGATTTTATGATTTTTCCTATTTTATGTTAAAAACCAAAATTTTGAACCATTAATTATGTTTAACCACAGGAACTACACTATTTATGTTAATTCAATAACCAGTTGACCAATACAAATACCAAAACTATTCTTAGATTACATACATTTAAACATACAAATACTTATTTCAGTCTTTTAAAATTACACGCCGTAAACAAAGAATATTTATCGCAAGAGTAATATGTCAGATGACACAATTCACACAAATAGTTGCCTGACCCGAATAATGGCTGTTGCGAGAGCCTCGCACCGCCTGCCCGACCTGCAGCAAGCCTTGTGCAATGCCAACGCTACAGCACTAAACCAATGGATTCTTAAATGCTCTTTTAACTATATACAACTTCATTTTTAAGGATATAAAATAAGTACTGTCTGTGGTGGACAGTTACAGCAACAAATAGAAGATATTTAGGATTACATTATTTAATTACAGCAGCGACAAATTCACCAATTAGTGGATTATCCAATTAGTTTTCAAATTATTAACACAGTTGTAGTCTGGCACGAGAGAAACAAAAATGTTTGTAACTTAAAACATTAAAACAGCACAGTGAAATTACCCATGGCTTACATAAGGGACCTCAACATATGTAAGCCGAGTTACGGTAATGGCTTGCTGCTAAAATGTTAAAATTTTCTTTCCAAACTTTAATTTATGGTAATTAGTAGCAAACTAGATTGATGTGTAGTCTAATAGTTACTTTATCATAAAATTACATTATATCTGATTTGTGTAGTCAGTCTAGTGGGGGTTGCGGATCGGGCGTGCGCCGGCGACTGTATCGTGCGTTTCGACACAATCGACCGTCGTCGGTGGGGTACGCTGCGCAAGCGTCGTTTCACAAGACGTTCGGTCGACCTGTCGCAATGGGCTACCCAAATGTGACCTGGACACGTATCACGTTACTTATTCGTGTACCTATGCATACGTCGAATATCGGATATAATTCGTAATTGATGTATTGAATTAGGTACTTTTGTTAAAATCAAACGTAAGTGCTAAATACACATTTTATATATGTATCTCAGCTCACAGTAGGTATGTTAAATAGTAAAATAATACCGAAAAGACATAAATATGAAATTCATATGAAATTAGACCCGTGTAAAACGAAGCGAATGACTTTACGTCATGATTTTGTGAGACGCGTCGCTTATGACACGATATGACGATCTGCATTACCTACATATGGTAATTTCAGTGTTTTTAAACGTTTTGATTTTATATATACATATTTTTGTATAGAATGTGTACCTATACTGATGACATCAGTATACGACTATGATATCAATCATATTATTTGAGAAAACAAGCCGATCTAAGCATAACCCTTTATAGCAACAATATCATTAGTAAATCTTGTGAACAAGATACAAATTTGACTTAACAATAATAAAATTCTTAAAATATCTTCATGTAGTAATTAGTTCCTCCACAATAGTGATGCGGCCGCGACCGGTAGCACGGTGCAACGGACCACGGTCGACGAATAATGATAGTTGTTACACGGCCTGCTGCTTTTATTATTCACTCTTTTACGTAATAAAGGCACTTGTACGCAGGACTAATATTCATTTTTCAAAGTATACTGCGAAGTTTCTATTGGGAAGTACATAATAGTATTACTGAAAATATAGGATTATTTTAATATCCTATATCCGAAATAATACGATTCAGACAAACTTGCAAGGCAACTTAGTCTCAAACATTTTGCATGATACTGTATGTCAAGCCTTAACAATTTTTGCTTGGTGTATGTTGTCAAAAACGTTAATCACTACGACACGTTTGGACTAGCAAATAATAAGATCAAATACCACCTCCACAAGAAATAAACGATGCGACAATGATAGGTGATTAAATATGTCAGATGGAACGATGGACACACATATCCACACTCAATATTTTCTAAATGTACAACCAAAGATTGCTGTTTGCGGACTAACTGCTAGGTACTTTACCCAGAAGAATCGAAAAGCTTACTGCACCACAAAATGAGTCATATACCACTTTTTACTGCATTAACCCGCTATTTCAATTAGGAACATAACTCTAGTTGAATCCAACTACTTACTAGTACCTACTTAATCAAATTAGAATATTTAAGTACATTTCCAATAGATATTTTTCTTTAATTGAAGCATACTAGGTGAATAAGTATCGTCATATACAGAAAGCTGGGCACATATTTAAAAGTTGCAGAGTGCTGAAACTCGCGAGGGTCGGACGGCCGCGGACAACGACAGATGTTAGATCACAATAATAAAAACTCGCGCGCCAGCCGACTATTTCGGCGCGCTGCCTTGACCCGAATCGAGTGTTTCGACAGAGCGGCCTCGTACACCGGGCCTTTCTATTTTTTAGGCATTACCTGTCGTATTATTACGACAGTTCTACCAACGCCGCCATCTTGGTAGGATTTTGGTGCGCAGGCGCTTCAAGCACGCCTCCGTGGCGCAAAAACCGGTTTCGGTGCGTAAAATCATGTTACAAAAGTATGCGCGTAATAGGTAGTTTCCACTATGACAACTTCACAACAGTATATTTCTACTTGCACCGAGCATCTGATCTTAAACATGGGTTCTACTGGTATTACTAGATCCTCTTGTTAGGTGCACCAACATTGCGAGTGTCTGGCGTAAGTTGTTCAATATTCAAATCTGGTCGGATTCTTACTAGGACTAAATTACACTAGGTATTGATGAGATCTTGACATAGTTAGGCGGATCATCGCGGGTGATTTATCTAGGTTGTGTAACGATCGCCGCTGCCGCTATCTGGGCGCGCGATCGAGTGCGTGCGGGCGTTCGGATGCGATCGGCCAGTTCCGCCGGTACTCGGACCGGAGGGGACTGATGGGGAGAGGAGGGGCATTGCCAGCCTTGACCAAGTTTCACCGAGTCGTCGGTACAAGGAGCGATCCCCACCTCTTCCCGTCCTTTCGGTACATACTATTTTTTTATCTCGTTGACACGATTACTTCATTTGACGGCCCTGACGCGTATGCCAAGGTCGATACTTAGGTAGTGACAGGTACGGAGCTAGATTTTGAATGGGGATGAAGGAGTCTTAGTTTCTACCTAAACATTCCCACATTCGGATGGTATTACCTAGACATGATGCGTTTCCATGACCTCTTTTCCAAGGTCGACCTTGACCCATCTACAACTGGGGCAGATCTACAAATAACTTGAGAATCCGAGGTGAACTCAGACGTATGTATCTATTTCTGCACACCGGCTGTTTGTCACAGCGACGTATGTTTTTGATTTGTAAAAATGACCTTGACCTTGATCTAGTTTAGTCTTGTTATAAACGACTGACCTCGTTTACCGCATTATCGGCTGCTATACGCTATGTGCTCATTATATTTTACATCAGAAGTTTAAATCAAAACACTGAAGTTATCCATTCATATGGTTACTATTCCTAAAACGTCTATTTGTCCTTTAGACCAGTATTCATCACATTGTATTGAAATCGAACTCAGCTTAAACAACAATAAATTTTATTCTCCACCGTAAAATATTACAAACATACAATTTAACAAAACCTCTACAATCGATCCCAAAATCCTTTACTGTAATCACTTTGGTAAACTTAAACTTTCTGATCCGTTACATGCTCCAACTTAGAATCTGGTGATAACCTCAATTAATTCTAAGATATTTTTTGATAATAAAACAAAGAAATTCGTTTGTTATCGGGCTAATCTGATAGATTTGTTATCACGTTTTGTCCTGTTTATGACGGACGAACCTAGCTTTTAATATTTCACAAAAATGTCTTCAATATTACGCTAAGTTTTAAAAACTATTGAAACAAAATTCATATTTGTGAAATCAATTTGGCAATCATATACGAAATAAACAGAAGTAGACAAGGCAAGAGGCTAAAAGACAAGTTTTATAATGAAGCCAAAGGATGTCGTAAGAGCCTACCAAGAGATTTACACATTTGACTGAGACGGAGCAGCAGAACTGCGGTACCCGCATCGCAAGTCGTAACCTACGAAATTTTTTAACTTGTGATCTCTAACCTACCTGCTGAACGTTGAATGTAGAAGTCACTACAGAGGAGTCCCATGGTCTGCCGGACCATGGCGGCATGGTCCTAAGTGACAAAAACACTATTTCTACCAGAGGTCGCCATAACTTTTAGTATGTGGCAATATGGTACGGTGCTACGTTTTGTATTACGACATGTGACATAATCATGTTAATGTGCATGATTTTCAGCAAGCATAATGTCTTCGCCGAATATTTGACGTTTTGCTTTGCAGTAAGAATAGTCAGAGGCTTTGAGGCACTCGTGACTGATAGGCTCGATAACATCGACTCGATCGATCGACCTTATTCTTTATACTTACTGCATTTTTCTGTCAAAAACGCATTTATAGGTGTAAAAGGTATTGATAAATAATTATTAATATTCCCAAAACACGTTAAAACTGCATTGCAACACTTGTTCAAACTTATTCTGCACTAGTTTGAATTAAAATGTATAAAAGAATGACAGTAAATTAAACGACAAAGCGCGATTAGATACTTGACTGCATCAATCGAGTCACTAAAACTAACGCAGACTTACGTCATCAATGTTACAAAATATTATCGATGACGTACTCTGTTTGTTATTGTGGTAGTGAGTGTAGTATTTTAATGACATGATTTTACATTCATTTCAAGAAACTTTGTTACATAAAGAAATTCTTATATAGTTCCTATCAATTAAATAAAATTATAGACTATCGATTTTATCGAATTTCAACTTACATGAATTCGTCTTAAAAATATACTACCGAAAAATTTAGAAGTATAAAATGAAAGATATATAGCTTCTATACATGTGATAATGATGAAATTCACTAAAATTATTTACATAGACTTATGTTTCACTTGATGCAAAAGAACGCATACAATCCTTTCGTGAAACGACCCGGTCTGCAATACGATACTGATGGAATTGCACACAGCAATGCTTAAATCCGTTACGCTCGCCGTCTCTGTTAAACCCTTTAGGAAACCCTGTAAGTCTGTCTTTATCGCGCAGTGCCGCGTTGGGTACAATAAAAACTGGTTGTTATTTTTAACTCGTGAGTTGGGCGGACCGCCGACTTACTGAAAGCCCCTTTCCGTTCCAGGTTTAGTGTTTAACTATACTATGCATAGGCTTAGTATGCATAGTTGTAATATAGTTAAAGACTACACTAAAGCACTAAACCTCACATAGTGTAAATGCACATAAAAATTTACAGCAATAGAAGTCTTAAAATACATCATAGTATGAGTATATTTTATTTATCAATTAGTCTTGAAAAATCCTAAAAGTAAGCGATTTTTACATAAAAATAGAAACACATTGAGCGTGCTACTCGCTATAGTGCTGTTTTCACATTTCAATTGATTAGTTTTGCGTAATTTGTTAGACTTCAGACATTTGAAGCGGCAATATAACACGACACATTTTCATTATATAAATAAATTAATAATTATACATTTGCATTTCTTGAGTTTTGCATCTACATAGCATAACATCAAGCCTTTTATCCCCAAAGGGGTAGGCAAAGGTGCACATTACAACACTTAATGCTACTGTACAGTGTAACACCCACTTTTCACTATTTATGTTATGAGTCCCATGTTTAAAATAATATTATTTGCATCTATGAACATAATCTATTTGATTAAATGACAGTATGATACATACATACATATTATTGCTATTATAAACACCTGCTGATGTTTTGTCCCAATTGCATTTTAGGCATTTGTGAGGTATTATTTATAGAGAACACAAACATATTACTGGAACATAATGTTACGCTATTCAATGAACTTTTTTACGTGACAAATAATGTTGCTATTCAGATAATATAATAGTAGGTATTTGAAATAAATAGAATAATCATCCATTAATTAAAAAGTACATAGTATACAACAATCACATTGCAATGCATGTAAGCATTATACGCAGAATGTAAATAAAATCTGCGGTGTGTATAAACTTTCGAAGTTACAACTAAACAGCTAAATTATTATATTTTATGCTTGAATGCAATTTACCTAAGATACCTGAGCACGTTATATACCAGTGTTGTGCAGTTTTATGGAATAACTTGAATAATAAATAAATTGCTGTTAATGAGCTTTGATTACAACGATGTCAGTCAGTTTCGTGTACAAAGAATCGGAACAAACATAAATTGCTGGTATCGCGATTCGCAAGGAGCGCCCGGCGTTCGGAATTTGGAATTCAGCCAGAATCATAAAGAGCGGTCGACTCTGCGTGTGTTATGAGGCCACCGTCCTAAATTTCAAGTTATTAAATATTTATTGAATGGCAAACAATTACTTATAACACTAAACTGTGACGTAACAATATCACACCGCTAAACATGAATATTCTATAATCTTTGATAACATGACCTAAATAGGTAACATTTATCTTTGATCAGTATTTGTCACTCATCATTACGTGATTCACTAAAAATATAATCTAAGTTATTTACAACAACCTATTGACTTTTTGACTATTAAAACAATTTAGTTTTAAGGAAATAAGATAATAAAAATATATTCCTCATTAGAACAGTGGGTAACACAAAGTAGACATAAATGTGTTCAGACACTTGTAAAGTCCGTATGTAAGTAATACTTACAAAAGAAACTTCTAAAACCATTGCCGTCGACTCACCTACATTAGAACATCACACTGTCTATTACTACCAAATATGCCCTAAATATTGTATTGAACATAATAACATTAAGCATTACTATTAAACTAAACACAATATTCTTTGTGTTTCAACATTTACGTCGTATTTAAACATGTTTCCTTTTGTTTCAGCTGTTCGAGCTGATCGCATGCGAGGAGGTCGTAACAAGTTCGGTCCTATGTACAAAAGAGATCGTGCCCGCAAACTGCAAATGATGCGACAGAGGCAAATCGCAGTGCAGACTTTACGTGGATCTTTGGGAGACAGTGGTCTAGTGCTTGGCTTTGCCTCGCCTTACGCAGCGGTTCCAGTCAAGCAAGAGATACAGATCCCACAAGTATCATCTCTCACATCATCGCCAGAGTCTTCACCAGGCCCAGCTTTGCTGGGTGCGCAGCCGCAGCCGCCCCAGCCTCCGCCGCCACCCGCTCACGACAAGTGGGAAGCGCATTCGCCACACTCCGCCTCCCCAGACGCATTCGCGTTTGACGCACCAGCCACAGCAGCCGCAACGCCGTCGAGCACCGCCGAACCCACAAGCACTGAATCCCTACGAGTCTCACCCATGATACGCGAATTCGTACAAACTATTGATGACCGCGAGTGGCAGAATTCGCTATTTGGGCTCTTGCAGAGTCAGACTTACAATCAGTGTGAGGTCGATCTCTTCGAGTTAATGTGCAAAGTATTGGACCAAAACTTATTTTCACAAGTGGATTGGGCGAGAAACACCGTGTTCTTTAAGTATTTAAAGGTGAATTTATAGATAAGTATGAATATCCTGTCCCAAATCCCTGAACCCCTATCCTGGTGTACACCAAATATTGCTTGCGAATTTTACGCCATTGCGCTACTGCATTGTTTACTATTCTTTACAGTCAATTGTAACGCATTGCGAATGGTTATAGTGATTTGCGTACTCACAGATAGTGACTAGTTACGATGTGTTTGTGTGCGTGTAAGGGGCGCGTGTGACGCAGCGGGCGACGCGGTGCCTCTCGCAATCGATACGCCGCGCCGCCCGCGCCGCGCCACCAACTGGGTCAAGTTCCCACGACAAGCGTGCCGCCAGCCACTGCGGTCGCACTTCAATTCCATATACAAAACTACAGACAAGTCATTATTATTTGAAAAATGTTACGTAAGGTTTAGATTGAGTAATAATACATTGCCCGGTTTAATTATCACGATACTAATAAACAATTATTTCGTAGGAATAATTCTTTCGTTAATCGTAAAAATAAGAAAAAACAATAAAGTTAAGTTTTAGTTCACTGACGGAGTTTACTGGTTATACGCGCTGGTTGATAAATGAAAAATACTAGTAATGTGTACACGCGTGTCGGGCGGGGAGTTAATCAATCAACAGGAGTCAATCGGCGAGAAGCGGGAGCAAGTCGGTGGTAGCGGCGGTGGCCGCCGCACCGTGGTCGTCGTACGCTTACGCAAGAGCCGCAGTCGGTCATGTGGGCGAGCGACGTTGCCACTCTGCGTTCGTCATTCCGTCTCACTCCCACAGACAGCCTCCACTTCACAACTAGCAATTTTTGTTTGTGCTAAAATGACGCGACATATTTACGACTCATTCTCGGAATTAGGAGATGGTGAACGAAGATATATTATATCACACTATATAGACTGTTTACGGAAATAATAGTATTTCGAAGTGTTTTTCATGTTACACAATTTTTGCTTGAATCGACACACAGAATTGATAACTTTGTTTCAAATAGTCCAAAAAAAAACTGTGTAGCTGCTAAAGCGCTAAGCACTAAGGGCGGGCTGCGGGGGTAGAGGGCGCCAAATGTTGATGACCTAAACTTTCCCCAGACGGATGTGATGTAACGGTGCGGGCACGCGGGGCGGCAACGCTGCACTTTCGCCGGCGCACTTGACACACTGCCCGTGGCCGAGTTGCCGCGAGAAAGCACTTTTTACCGCGACGCGTAACCGCCGGTAACGGAGACGTAACAAGTTCTGCGGCCTTTCTTCGCTTTCTCTTACGTAATACTAATTGCGATTAGTCACATAACAGCACGATGAACTTGAGCCGCCGCATATTTTCATTGTGATATCGAACTCGTAGATATTTTTAGGTTATCGGTTTATTAGCATATCTACTCATTTATTAAAAATAACAGACTTGATACTTAGCAGGTTTCTGTGAAGAGGCTTTATTAAATTAGGTTGTTTATATGAATTTAGATAACTGATAAGAGGGATTTGTAAAAGATTCAGTCAAATATTAAGGATAACTTTAGTCTATGATCTGAATTATAACGATATAATTTTGTGACGTTTTAACCTTTCAATTTCATTAGGTACGTTTGACCATTAGCTATTTATGTGATATTAAGTCCTAATAGTTTTGGATCAAGCTAGGACAGTCTAGCATTCTGTACTTGATAGAAAAATAGTAAAATTTACTGGAAAATGGGAGTATATTATGTCATTTATACGGTGTACGTAACGAACAACTAACGCACATCGATACGTACTTCTGACCCACATACTGGCTTCGTATATTAATTGACACTTGAATGAAATCCCACAAGTGTTCAGCTTAGCAAGAAAAGTTCGTCAACAATGTTCAGCAACTAGTTTATTACTCTTGTAATTAACTTACGATACTTAGTTATGCATTAAAAATATTTGTAATCTCAATAAGATTCTCGTCACGACATTGGTATCTAAAGTTTTGGGCACGCAGCAATTCAAGACGACTTTGACCTACTTCGCGCGCACTACCGATTACCAACAACTCTGTTCAAGATGGCCGCCCAAAGGGAGTGCCAGCTGTGCTAGAACCAAAACAGCAAATGACTCACAACTGCTCTCCGCGATTCTCTACTCTAAGTAGTGAAAATAAAAGCTTGAATTAAAATATTCGCGTGATACTGAAATCGTTGGCGCATTATGTCGTATTCATATGGTTCAAAGTGCTTGATAACAGTTAAAATAACTAAAGTTTACAATACATTATTAAATTTTAATTGTAGAGTTACGTGCTTAATTTGAAAACAATCGTAATTTTTATAAGAGTTGTATGGCTATTAAGTATTCGACCGAAATAATTTGTTCGGTGCGAGTTGAATTTTATCGTTTCAATCTCGATCCATCGTGTTGAGCAAGCAGCATGCGGTGTGGCAATGCCTTCGAGCTCTAAAATTCAGTTGTAACATTTCGTAAACGGCAAATTTAACGCGCTCGAGCTCCGCCCCGTGTTTTCTAATGCAACTCAATAAAATGTAGGTCACGGAACGACGTCGTCGGTTGCGACTGTCAGATAATATTTTGATTACACACAACACCTGAATTAGTTCTATATTAAACTGACGCATTAAGAAACATTGATAAAACCGGAGTTATAGATATTCTCGACTTAAAATTTTATGTAGGCAATACTCAATCAGGATTTGATTCACACTCGGACCAAGGTTTTAACCTTTACCACCAACACATCGTAACTGCTATCTCCTTCCAAGTTTTACCGTCACTAATATGCTGTTACAACACTTTTATACTTTAGTATTACTGATCTAACTATTATACAGAGGTAGTTCTATTAAAATGCTAAGCGAAAATCATATTAATTACTAACCAAAATGGCGACTTACTAGAACTGCTTCTGTATTAATTTGCTCTTTAGTAGATTAATACTTTGAAATCAAATTAAATGATGAGTGTAATATATTATTAGTGACGACGACTTTCATATCCTACATCGCAATCAATTGCGAAAAGTTGGTTATTTTGCCCTGCATGTGTAGCAATGCGGTATTGATTTGTTGCAGGTCGACGATCAGATGAAGCTGTTGCAGCACTCGTGGTCTGACATGTTGGTGTTAGATCACCTTCACCAGCGAATGCACAATGGCTTGCCTGATGAGACTACACTTCACAATGGCCAGAAGTTTGACCTCCTCTGCCTGGGTCTCCTGGGTGTACCATCGTTGGCTGACCACTTCAACGAGCTCCAGAACAAATTAGCAGAGCTGAAATTTGATGTCCCAGACTACATTTGCGTTAAATTTTTACTTCTATTAAACCCTGGTTAGTATTTTAACAAATGTCATTCATATTTTTATATTGTGTTATTTTTATTTGTCTGTGTAAACAGTGAATTTTGTAATGCCCACAGTGCGAATGATTTGTTTATTTTGTTTATGTAATGTGTAAGTTAGACTAAATTGTAATTTTTACGTATCCACGTCCTGTCCTCCAAACACTACACAATATTGTTTTTTTTTTCTTGAAGGAATTTCTTGACGTTTCAGAAGTAAGAGGCATCGTTAATGTGAAGTGCGTCCGAGATGGTTATCAGACAGTTCAAGCTGCCCTCCTTGACTATACGCTGTCCTGTTATCCTACGATACAGGTAAATAGCTTGAAGATTCGATTCCAAATTAAGAGTTCATAATATTGTCACTAAAATATGAAATATGGACGATATCGATATTATTGACCACTTGACGTTTACCGCCAATAAAGTAATCACTGTAATATTTCAGGACAAATTCGGGAAACTAGTAATGGTAGTTCCCGAAATACATGCGCTAGCCGCACGTGGCGAGGAGCACCTGTACCAGCGACACTGCGCTGGACAGGCACCTACACAGACTCTCCTCATGGAAATGCTGCACGCAAAACGCAAGTAAGTGTCCCTTTCAACCACTTTCTTATTGTATTCGTCCAAATTCTCGACCAAGATGAGATGAGATTGTTTACATACAATTCCCATCTAAATTATTGGTTAGTTCGTAACCAATCATATCGTTTTGGCCTTCAATGAAATATTTTCGGTTATATTCTGAAATGGGACTCCATATTCAGTCGGGCAGTATTCTAGTCAGATGAGAAATGCAGCGTATAATCTCGTTCTAGGCCGAACGGAGGTGAAATGGTTAACCGGAATGCCGAGCACACGTCGACACTTGACCGATTGTATGTTATTCTATACCTCATATTTTAATATATTTATATACCACTTATGCAATAGCGCCTCATAATAGAATTAGCTAATAATGTTGGCAACCGCTTTATCTTAAAAATATCGAGTCTCTATGGTGTCCTACATACGTCAACATTAAAAAGACACTGTTTTAACACAATACAACGAAAGTTTTTTTTATAAATACACGTATTGATTAGTCAGTAACTTAATAACTGAATGTATAATATTATATTTGAATAACTACAACTTCCATAAAATAATATGTTACCTTGTCCAAATATTGCCACTATATTAAAATTAAAACATCACTATATAAGAGACTTCACTCTACTATTCCATGGCAATAAATTTAAAAAAATCTTCATAAATTTATATTCTAGAGACTCAATATTTCGTGATTTAAACACACACTTGTATTGACCAATAACAATTACAATACTTATGCATTTGTGTAACTTTCAAATGAAACATAAATTAAAAGGATTCCAACAATATTAGCCATCGACACAGACATATTTGTATATACTTAATATCTATCAGTAATTTTGGATAAGAGTTGCCAAATTGTATTTAATTATGTCTTATATTGTATTTTATTGCTATAATAATATAGGCTAATTTGGCAATTTTGATCCATCATTTGCACACCATGCTTTGTAGTCTATCACAGTAAAATATAAAATCATGGTATAATGGTCACACTTTTAAGATATTTAAGTATTTAAGTATACAGCATACGAGCCATTCTTTAAATCTTAGATTTAGTATATGAATTTATTTCCATTAAAGTATTTTTCATGAAGTGTCCAAAATTTAGGAAAACAGACATTTGTATTATAATTAATGATTTGAATATGTATAATGGCCTCATTTTTATATTAACAACAATACACAGATTTACTACACATACAATAAATTGTACCAATATCGTACATAATGAAGACCAAGGCTAGCTACGTATGAGGTACCTAGCATCACTAATTTAATAAAGCGCTAGAGTATACGTAAATGGCCTTATTAAATTAGTTGGATATAAATAATAACATTCACTCGTTAGTCGGCCCGTTTTTGGTATTCATTTGCAATTAATACAATCCAAATTGAACCTTTATCTGATACAACGAAAGATTTTGCTGAAATAAATTATCATAAAATAAAACTAGCATCAGACATCGAGAATGTCAACAAAAACAGTCTGTTGCAAACTGTATTATAATAATATGACCGATATTCGTATGACCTAAAAGTCGCGACTATTGAATAATGTATCAGAATGTACATGAAGCAAGCCTCTTCATTTGAACAAATTGGATATTCTATCTGCGACTCTATCTGCCACTTATAGCATATGAAACCAATCAACAACCACTTAAAACTGTATCATTTGTATGCTCGAATTCGAAGACACCCAATTATATTGGCCACAGACGGGTATAATGAAGCATTCATATTGTATATTTTGCAAAACTGCTTTAATAACTGAATTATATACACTACATACATTATATGCATTACCAAACTGTTATTTACACAAAATGGCAATATCTGCTGCAAAAATGGTTACTTTACACAAATATGAAAAAAATTGTAGCGGTGTATTCCCACCCAATAGTGCAGTATGCCATCAAAAGTTTACGAACTTTTTTGGATAATTCTACTAAAAGTAATTAAAAAACATTATTGTGTACGTACGAGACTGTGCCGACTAAAACAGGAGGGTAAAAATGAGGATGGTCTCTAAATAGACACCAATCTGTTTCACATGGCCATAGCTTCATGGAAAATAAAAGAGTTCATACGTAATAATTAGTTAATTTCTTGCTAGTTATCAAATAAACACAGGAATTATTCTTATAGTCACTAGTTGGAGGCTTGCACACAGGCATAGTTAGGCCTCGTAAAGCTTTGTAGCGGAGAAATGTGTACACTATAAGAAATTGCTCTGTGTGTATCAGGTGCGGATTCCTGCCTAGCGACGCGATTGAGCAACAATCGCCAATATAGAGTAAGCATTCTCGCAATAAACGTACACACCGAGACCATCCTCGCACTTCCTACTTGCACATTTTAAAATGATATTCAACTTTATAATTTTGGCACTTATTTCACTGCAAGTTATTTTATTTCTATATCTTTTATGGTTCAAAGTGTTCTCACATATGCAAAACAATATTTATTTCACATGTGTTTGGTTATTTACGCGAATTGGCATACTTTTACAAAAACGAGTGTACGATAAAATTATTTCGGTTATACGAGAGTTAATCAAATATCAAATTAACGAACGAAAACATTGTTATCCAATGCGCACGCGATTATGTTTCGACTAACATCAAAACCGCGTTTTTGGAAATATGTATTATAAAATAATTGTTGTCGTTAGCCAGATTATAAGAAACTTACAAGATAAGGCCGGTAAATTCACAATGGCATATCATTTCGGTTTACCGAATGATGAAGTACACAGATGCAGATTGAGATCACACAATCAACACTTTATCTGTACCATATAACTTAAATATAAATCATCTATGTTACTACTAAAATACAAGGTGTCAATGTTAAAATAACTATGTTACAGCATAAAGGGAAAAAGGTACATAAAATTGTAGCTGAAGGGAATGTGGGTTAATAACTAATTAACAGGATCTTTGGGTGTGGACAATTTATTAAAAAGATAAGAAATAACGGAACGGGTACCTACTAATCGCAGGCGCATTTCATAACAACATGAAAATATTTGGCATAATTTGTATTCTTACTTCAAGGTGAAATTCAAAACTACGTTTGTGATGACAAGCTTTAATTATTTAAGTTAAATACTTATTGTCTAAACTCTAAATACTTATCAATATTACCAATAAAAATGGTGTGTAACTGTTTTACGAGTATAACTATCAATTGTCGTTATCTTCCTAAATAACTCGAGCTCGACTTTAAGTTACCTTGTTCCACATTTCGTAGTTCTTCCAATTCCACCTTGAAGACATAATACAGATCAAAATTTTATTCCAAATCGATAAGCATCGTAATATTTTTTTATTTTCACTAATACTGCCTTATCATTCACTTTATTTTTTATTCTTTTGTGTTATTTTACTTTGGGTTCTAGCTCTATGTTATGAGAGCAAGGCTTCAATTTACTGAGAATACCGAACTGTGACGTACCCTATGTTTATTTCAAGTCGTATTTACATGCATAATGTGTTATTCAATTTTAACATCTGTTTGTGTGTCATTGTTCGGTGACTTAGTTCTCTTTGGTTCGGTATATGTTGTAACTTTTTATACAATCTAAAACATACTTATGATAATTTCTGTTTTCAGATCTTGAAGTCTCAGTGAAGAGAAACAGACCACAAAAGCGCAAAGCGCTCCCGACACCGCATCAGAATAGAATATGCAACAAACTTTACTTATTAGTTAGTTTTAGTTTATAACTTGGTGTGTGATTTTCAAATTTAAGTTATTGCGCCGAGCGCCGGCCGGTGGTGCCGCGCGTGCCTAGTCCGATACAGATAAAACAAATATTTATCTACCTATTGTCTGTAAAATAATATACAAATATTATACACCAGTCTTGTGTAGCTATGGTTAATTTATTTAGCAGTCTATATCGTGTTACTTCAAAATTGAGTAAGTACATTATATAACTAGGTTCTCTTTTACACCGGTGCGTAAGCAAAGGGAAATATTACAATACATATTTTAGGAAAGTGTCTGTGATTATAAACGAAGAAATTTGATGAAAACCGTTTTTAATGTTAGTTGAAATGATCATTATGTATAATATAACTGTAGATGTTAGTTGTATTCAGTACCATACGTACATACATTTTATGTTGTGGTTGCGCAGCGCAACTAGCGATGCCTGAGTTTTTATTTCTTTCATGTTACTTATAAAATGTATAGATTACCTTTCTTTTTATGGCTATCAAGCACTTTACATTTGAATGTATAATACTGTCTTCACTAATATCGTATAAAACGTTGTGTTCTATAGCTTACATGTCTCGCGGCGTTGAGTGATTGTGGATGGATGTGGATAGTTGTGGGGAGCGACAGGTTTATTAAGTGTAGGTAGGTATATTGGGCTTGATTGAAAATAAAGTTTATCGAATGTTGATATTGGTCTATGTGTATTATATAACGTATAATGAATAGAGTTAATCGCGAATTAAATCAAGTTTAAAATTTTACAGTTGTTCCTTAAAATGTTTATCTGAATGTTGTATAAAGTTAATCAAATATTGTTTTTATCGGCCATACCAGTACAAAATCAAATGTAATCCTTGTAAATAACATAAGCACATTTGCAGTGATTTAATCTACTTATGATTGTGTAACTATGTAAAATATTCTCCACGTACGTGCAAGAAGCCTTAAAAATCATAGATTTTTAAAAATATATGGGTACTAGCGTCTATCGGCTGATGGCCGAAGAAGGCGATGTATTTTTATATAAAACATATTGTTCTTTATTAACATATATAATATGTTAACTGAAAGTACATGATTTCGTATTTTTCTAACAAATAATATAGTAGCGTACGTAATCAAGTAAAAAAGATCTACTTTTAAAGTGGACGTGATTATACATAATATTGAATATAAAGTGTATCATAAAAAAATCTATGTAAATCTGTCATAACGACGTTACAAATTTAATTTGAAAACGTTTTCCTTTAACAACGGTGTCAATTCGATGAAAGGAAACTGCCCATTAGACAACAGTTTGTTTGTTTCGACATTTGAGCATGAAACGTGATGAAAGCAAGTGGACGACACGACGACACGACGACACGACACTTGTAATAGTTTGGTAACAGAGCGGCGAGCGGTAGACGCTAACGCTAAGCAACTGCATGTGGGTACTCTACAGTGTACGTAATCTAACGAATCATTTAAGTAACTATACATTGTGATTTCGCGGTTTGTGTTTAAACTGAATGTTATTATTCAAATTGTTTTTACGTAATACCAATGCACCAAGTGCGAATGTTTAGCTAGTAGGTTGCGTCAACGAGTAGATTACGGTTATTGATAATGGTGTTTGTTCATTTTGGCTTAGTATGTTTCATGTAGGCTCACACAAATGTACAAATCTATGGCACCGTATTATATCTACAATACCGTCCAGTGAACACTCAGGATACACTGTAATATAATGATTATCATGTTGTTTTACAATTCACGAATTAACTTTCTATAGACGTGATACTAGTTGGCATACAGCAAGGGTAGCATACTAACAGTGTGGTACCTGTAACAAACAACTTTAAAAAAGTTCCTTGAAACGTTGTTGTGGTACAATTTTTAATATATACACATTTCTTGAATTTCTTTAATGAGCACTGTTGAAAGTTTTATAAAAATTTATTTACGACTATAACATTTTTAGTTATTTGCCGTATTTAATACATTTTCATTATAGCATTTCGTCTACACTTTTTATAATCGAAGACCACAGTTTCTATGTAAATAGTTAACAGTTATTAATCAAAATCTCCACGTATGTGTACGTCTTGTTATAACTTAAAGAGTAATGTTTAACTAAAATAGGTACAAAAAGAAGCTTCGAAAAGGAAGAATCTATTTGGAATAAGCACGTACTTTTTATAATAACTATCGTGAGACATACTAAATTAAGTAAAAACGCGGGTTACTCACGTGAATATACTGAGAAAAGCTCTACTAGTTTCGAACCCCAGAGGGGTTCTTCCTCATGAGCAGCGTGCGCGGTCGCGGCGACGTCGCGCAGCTCACTGGCTGGCGTCGGCGCTCGCCTCGGTGTTGCCACCTGCGCTGCGAGCCCAACGCGCCCTCTGTCGGACACTACGAGCGTTTGCTTCCAACTCCGGCGGCGCGTTGGACGATGTTGGAGTGTACATAATACCGTGCGACTGTGGCTCGAGTTACATTGGGGAAACTCGTCGCAACATCACAACCAGGCTAAAGGAACATATACGCAGCGTGAAGAAGATGGACATCCAGGCATCGGCAGTGGCTGAACATGTTTGTGGTACGGACGCGGCTCACTTCATACGTTTTGATAAGGTCTCCGTACTAGCGAGAGAAAAATACTTCGTTCCGCGAAAAGTGCGAGAGGCCATCGAGATTAGCCGACGTCCGTGCTTCAACAGGGATGTTGGCTGGGCACTGCCACCCGCGTGGAAGCCGAGCTTGGAGTCTTCGTCGATCCACAGCGTCTCCAGTCTGGAGTGTGACGCAGTAAGCGTTATATGCAACACTGACTTTGTGCCGAACCCGGAATCGAACCCACGACCCGCGCCGCTGGTGAACGTACCGTGCGCTTTAACATCGTCCAACGCGCCGCCGGAGTTGGAAGCAAACGCTCGTAGTGTCCGACAGAGGGCGCGTTGGGCTCGCAGCGCAGGTGGCAACACCGAGGCGAGCGCCGACGCCAGCCAGTGAGCTGCGCGACGTCGCCGCGACCGCGCACGCTGCTCATGAGGAAGAACCCCTCTGGGGTTCGAAACTAGTAGAGCTTTTCTCAGTATATTCACGTGAGTAACCCGCGTTTTTACTTAATTAAGCACGTACTGATGTAATATTAATTTACTTGAAAAGGTTTTCACAATCGATTATTGGTTTAACGCGCACGTTTCCCTTTCGATGTTCTTGATCGTCCTTAATCCAAAGCATTCTTCACCCACGTCACTTCGATTCTACATCGCTAGCGGTGTAAGCAAACATGTATATAGAATTGAAGTAACTCGCAGCTTCTCAAATTTAGGGCTTTATTAAAGGCAAAGCTGATCTGTGATGGTATGACATAGTTAAGTACATAAGACGGCGTGGGTCATTATTCTACTCGCGTTTGCACAGCGAGTAATTGTGACCAATTTTAATCAAAACACCCGTTTGTCCAGTGCAGCTTTAAAATAGACCTCGTTTATCGACAGGGTTCATATTTGAAAGTCGGTGAACTAAGAATTCTTAATACTATCGTGTTAGACAAGTTACAAAACATTAGCACCACT